TTTTCCTACTACACTTACTAACATTTGAGGGGCTCACACTTTTACATTTATTGTAAGTCTTATTCCCCAATTAATTTGTCAAAGAGGGACTTTTAACTAATTTTCTCTTATTTATTTGATTTTTCAAAAATGATTTTATGAATAACTGAAAATCCAAATTCCCTTTATTTTACTTTATTCTTTTAAAAGACAAAATCGAAGAAAATCAAAGACCTCATATGAACTGTTAAGCCTACGGGTGAAAGTACGGAAACACATGCTGCTGAAAGAATGAGATGCGCAGCGTTTTAATCATGACCGAAGAAATAGAAAGAACAGAAACATACAAACAAACACACGCACACAGATACACACACACAGATATATATATATATATATATAAAATAACCAGATTCATAGCTCATTGTCTCATATGAGTGCTCTTCAAACGTATAGCTAGCAATATTTTATGTCTTTTACTATTTTAACCCACTTATAATTGTGTAACTCAATTCCTGATATCTTAACTTGTTTATAATTTATTCTGTAATTTTTTTCACATTTAATAATTTAATTCTTATCATACATAACTTATTTTTAATTATCAAATAATTATCTTACCTGGCAAAAAATATTATTTAACACCATCAAAAATTGCACACGTCATCCAACTCAGCTCATGTATTTACTAAATTTTTTCAAGGCAACTCCTCACCATTCCAGAGCCACACGTCCAACTTCTCCACCCTCTCCCGATTCTTCTTCCTCACCTTTCCAGAGACCCAAACCCAATTCCAGGCATTGCTGTCAATTAATTTGAATTCTTTTAGACGTAAGAGTTGGTTAATACAAGGCCCCAAGTCGGGACTTTCACCATTAGAAGCATTACCTTCCTGTATCTACTTATTGCAGTTTCAGTTGCACTTAAAACTTGAAAGACAAAAAATTAATTTAAACGCCAAGTTAATTGCACAGTGTTGTTCCTCCTGGAAGTTTTATTTCGTACTTTTGTAGTAAACAGTGTCAACAATAATATATATATATATATATATATTTGTTACACGTTGAAAGCTTTCGTTTGCCTCTGTTTTCTCCTACGGAAAACAGAGGAGCCTTTTCGATCTTCCTAAATCGTTCATACTTACACAAAATCCTTCGTCCTTCTTCATCCACGTAATGAAAGAACAATCTACATGACAGCTTCAACATGATCACTTTCACTTCGGCATCATTGCCCACATAGATAAACGCCGATAGCTGAGAGGAAGGCTGGAGGGACTGACTTTGAGACTTTGCGAGGAAGTTTGAAACTGAAAGTGACAAACAGAGATGGTTAAAGCCTGCAGAATGAAACTGATGACCAAAAACGAAAGCTTCTTACCGGTTATGATCTCCTCGTTGTCGTCTTCCTCTTTCCTCAAAAGAAACCCGGGATCATCATCTGCCAACCTTAACTTTAAGGCAATGCACGTACGATTGATAACTTACCACTCTATCACGTATAGAATTATTTAATACTCCTCTTGTTGTATTTATATTCATAAAGACATTTTTTATTCTATTTACAAGATATTGCATGAAATTTTTTTTGTTTGGATATACAATTTAACTCCTTTATTTATTATTACATTGATTTTATTCATATGAAGTGTAATATATATTAAATAAGAATAAAATTAAAAAATTATTAAATTTTAAATAAGAGTTAATAAAATTTAAAATTTTTCTTAATCTATGTGAGATATATTAAAAGTGACCTATAAATAGGATTAGGGGAGTAACTTTAACTATTTATTTTCTTACTCATATTTAATGAAGATATTAAAGACATAAGAGTTAATACAATATTAAAATTTATTTCTGTTACTTTCTTAATATTATGTAAACTAAGAAAAAACTTAAATTTTATTTAAAATCGAATAACTTTTAATTTTATTTCTATGTAATATATACTACACCTCATATAAATAAAGTCAACATAATAATAAATGAAAAGTAAAATTGTACATTTATAAGAAAAATTTCTCTTAATATTTTATAAACAGGACAAAAAATATTTTTTTTTTCTACACATAAATAGGACCATAGGAGTAATATATAATATTAAAAATTATTTGAATTTTATGAGAAATTTAATATATTATCTGTTTTAATACTCTTTTGGTCTTTAATATAAGACCAATTTAATTAATTTGATTAGATTAAGGAAGTTAGGTAAGTTAGTTAATTATAAGAAATGTAATATATTTTTCCTAAAACACCATAATCATCTTTCGTAATACTCTATCTTCCTCTTCTACTTAATTATAGTTGAAGAAGTATCCATATGACTAATTTAAAAAAATTGATAAATATGATAAGTAAATTTTATATTTAAAATCAAAATCAAATCAATAACTGAGTACCATATTAACAAGCGCAAGAGTATATAAATAAGAAAAAAAGGTACTAGTTGGGGGCCGGGGAAGTCTCATGTTCCAACGCATTAGCCTCAGCCTTATAGCCCCTTTTTTTTAATTTTTTATTTTTACCAGCAAGCCTTATAGTCACGATCATGGAAGTCCCGACAAACAGATTGAAACGTGAAGGGCTCAGATTTAAAGAAGCATCGCTGGAATCTGGAGACAGGAAATATGTCATATGTGTACGTGTGTGTGACGACAAATTAGCCTTGGAGTTAAGTCCAATGCGGTGAGGAAAGCTCAGGAGCTTAGCATCCAAAGTCAGAAATCCACAATAATTTGATATTTTCAGAAGATACCGTCACCATTCCCAATCCAAGGCTTTTTTTCTCCTTTATAGGCCATTAACTGTGCGAACATAGTAGTCTTTCCACTCTCACCTTTACTGGATCTGATCACCAAACACCGCAGCCTCGCGTAGTTCTTCAACCTATCGCTCTGAGGATGGCGGAACAAGTTCCATATGGTGTGGCTACAAGTCTCATCAACATGTTGGCTTCATCAGCCTTCAGAGAGATTGCTTCCATTTATAGGGTCGAGACTGAGATTGAATGGCTGAAGGAAACTATTGAAGACATCAAAGCTGTGCTTGCTGATGCTGACCACAAGCAGCAGACTGAACAACTCATCCAGCGCTGGATGACCAAACTCAAACAAGTGCTTTACGAAGCAGATGACTTGCTTGATGAGATCCACACCCAGCATTTGCTGCACAAGAGGGATGCAAAAGGAAAGGTATGTGACTTCCTCTCATCCTCCAATCCAATCGCTTTTCGCCTCAAAATTGCTCGCAAGATTAGAAAGGTTAGAGAGCAATTTAAGGCTGTTACTGAAACTGTTTCGAGGTTGAACTTTGATCGAAGAGTTGTGGAAATGAAGCATGAACATAGTAGCTGGAGGGAAACCAGTTCTAAGCTTGAAGAGAATATCACTGGCAGGGAGGAAAGTGAGGAGGAGGTTACTGATCTGTTGCTAAACACTAATGACAATCAAAATGTTTCGTTGGTTGCTGTTGTGGGAATAGGTGGTTTAGGTAAAACTGCTCTTGCCCAACTGGTCTACAATAATGCCAAAGCCAACAAACTTTTCGATAAGCAAATGTGGGTGTGTGTTTCTGAAGAGTTTGATGTGAAAGCGCTCGTTAAAAAAGTATTGGAATCATCAATTGGCAATGGTGTGAATGACCAATCATTGGAATTACTTAAGGATCAACTTGAAGAGAATTTGAACGGACAAAGATATTTGCTCGTCCTTGACGACGTGTGGACTGAGGATAGAGAGAAGTGGTTAAATTTGAAAAAATATTGATGATGTGTGGTGCCAAAGGTAGTAAGATTTTAGTGACTACACGCAGTCAAGCGGTAGCCAATATAATGGGTGTAAGAACACCATATTTTTTGAAAGGATTGAAAAATGACCAATCTTGGACTTTATTGAAAAGATTGGCATTTGATGAAGATAAAATAATGACCCAAAATTTGGAGTCTATTGGTCAAAAAATTGCAGAAAAATGTAAGGGCGTTCCGCTGGCAATAAGAGTTATGGGAAGTTTGTTGCAATCAAAATCACAGGAAAGTGATTGGGAAGATATCTTGCAAGGTAACTTTTGGGAGCTATGTGACCGTAATGATTCAATTATGCCAATTCTAAAGTTGAGTTATGATAGTTTGGCAATTGAATTAAAACAGTGTTTTGCTTATTGTTCTTTATATCCAAAAGATTGGATATATGATAAGGATGAATTGATTGATTTGTGGATGGCACAAGGCTTCCTGGAAAATAAAGACGAGAAACAATGTTTAGAAGACGTGGGTGTGAAGCATATGTTCGCATTTTGTTAACGAAGTCATTCTTGCAAGATGTTGAGACGGATGAATTCGGCGAAATAAAATATTTTAAAATGCATGATTTGATGCATGACCTGTCCCAATCAATTGCTAGCTCTGACCTATACATTGGGAGAGGAAAAAATGTTGCAAGGTATCCCATACATGCTTCTTTTGAGGAATATAGCTCTGATAGTTCTCTAAATATGCCTGATTTATTTGTGTTCAAGCGCTTACGGAGTCTGAATTTGTCACATTGTAACATGAGATATTTGCCTAAATCAATAGGTAAAATGAGCCACCTGAGGTATCTTAATCTCTCTTATTGTGACGAATTAGCTTGTTTGCCCAATAGTTTAAGTATGTTAGTCAATTTGCAGACGTTGAGATTAGATGGTTGTACTAATCTCAACTTTCCCGGGGATATTATCATAAAGTTGATAAACTTGCGTCGACTTGATATAAAACATTGCAAGGCCTTTGATAATGGGATGCCGATTGGGTTGCATAAAATGACTTCTATGCAAAGGTTGTCACATTTCATAGTGGGTAATGATGATAAGGACAAAAAGAAAGCCAAATTGAATGAATTGAAAGGTATTAACCTCAGAGGCGGATTAGCTATTGAGAATCTTGGTTCAGTAAGGGATGTAGAGGAGGAGTCCAAGGATGTTAATTTGAGAACAAAGAAAAACCTCATGTCCTTGACCCTGGATTTGGGGAGATGATTCAGAGATGAAAGACAGTGATGCCATGCAATTATTGAAAATTCTTCACCCCCGTCAAAATTTGAAGGCACTAGCAATAATCGCATACTCGGGGGCATGCCTTTCTAATTGGCTTTGGTCATGTGCAAATCTTGTTGAGTTACAGTTCTTTGGCATGAAAAATATTCAATGCTTGGCAGCATTGGAAGGATTTGTTTCTCTCAAGACTCTTTATATAGCATCGATGCCTAAATTGGATTACATAGACTATAAAGGGTGTTCCTCATCAACTAACTTCTTCCCATCTTTGAAGGAATTAATAATTTTGAAGTGTGGAAGGTTGAGGGGATGGCAAAGGGAGGCAAATGTCCAAAATACTAGAAATAATGAGTGGCATCATTCATTGCCTCCATTTTCACATCTTTTATCATTACAAATTCATGATTGCCCAAACTTAAGCTGCATGCCTCTTTTTCCAAATCTTGTGACATATTTGAGATTAACTGACTCTAGCATAAAGCCATTGGCCGACACATTAAGTGTGAGCTCAATTGGGGCCTCAACATCACATGATATGACTCCACCTCTTTCCATGCTCAAGTCTCTTTACATTGGAGGGATAGACATAGATGCATTACCAGAGAAATGGATGCAAAATCTCTCCTCTCTTAAATATCTCTCTATTACAGGATTTTCAAGTCTAGGGAAACCATTTCGTCACATGCGAAATCTATCTGCCACACTCAAAGAATTGACTATTGGCGAATTTCAGGATTATAACCTACAGTGCCAAGACCTTTGTTGCCTACATTCTCTCCAAACAATCAAATTTTCTTTTTGTGAACACCTCAGGGCTTCACCAGAGTGGATTTGTGATCTCCAGTCACTGCCAACTGTGCACATTGTGAGTCGTGTAAGAGTGAAGTAGAAGGAATGTCTCGCCTCACAATTTACAATCACTAGAACTGGATGCATCTCTACTTTTAAAGGAAAGATGTTAGAGAGAAATAGGAGCAGAGTGGCCGAAAATTGCTCACATCCCAAATACATGGATTGATTATCATCGAATCTAACTCTTTATTACATTCATCTAAAGGTATACTCGAGTAACTATTATGCCTTTTTTTTTGGGGGCGAGGGGCCTTGTATGATATCTATGACTAGTTTTTTTTTATAAAAAAAAAAGATACTGCTCCAATTGTTTTCACCTTCATATAATAATTCACTACCAGAATTCTTCCGAGTTGTTAAACTCCATTTCTCTTACTAATTCACGTTGGATTGCAGCTGACCATTTTTATCCAAGAGAAGGCGGACTCGCAGAGCATGCTCTGCTCACTGAAGCTTTAAAACAAGGTACTTTGCTGCTACTTGAATTGATAATTACTATAGTATTCCCCAACTAACTTGTGCGCCCTTTAAATTTCAAGCTAGTTATGTCCTGCTACATGGATTATAAAACTTTGAAAACATTCAAAGATGTAATCTATTGCTTGATCATTACTCTTATTTGCTCTGTTTTTACGAAAATAGATAACAACTGAAGGGTGCTCCAGCCTACTCCAAGGTTGAAAGATGAAAAAGATAATATGTATATACTCATGCTGAAAGCCTATTTCGAAGAATAGTATCTAGCAAAAGAAATTGGGTCACAAATTATATCACCGTGTCTTCTTATTCTTAATTGATTTTCGCTTATTACTCAATTTCAGAATTGGACGAATGTGATAAGGAAACTCCGTTCCTGTTTTGAATTTGAATTGAACTGCAAATGAATTATATTGCTGGCTGCTCAAGGTTGAAAGCTTTCATATTTTGGTTTGTCTGTTCAATGCTTGTTTTAGTCACAGGCCTCAAATGCAAGAAAGCTTCATTGGCCTCATAACAAATTGCAGTTTTGTGTACAGCAAAGCCAATACAGCGGACTTTCAATCTAATTGATCTTTCTCTCAATATATATTCGAACTGGAAAACACAAACATTTGCCCTCAGAAGATTGAAGCCAAATGAGAATAAACTCCAGTAGGTCTTACCCTCTTGATCTTTTCTGTAATCAGTATTTATATGGTGCATGAAGATGCTTTTTTACTAAACTATAATATACGTGCTTCCATGAAAAGCCTAATATATGCATGAGATTAATTCTTTAGGGTTATGAATTAGTTAAATAGAATCACTAGATGCTCAAGTTCTTATTTGCCTATAATTAATGGGGAATATTAGATTAAAATGGCAAATTCATAACTAAAAATTTTAAACTTCTTGTGACGTTGCGTTTGTGATTTTTTGCAGGCGAAGTGCTCATATTTTTAAATATCAGTTTTCATATATTTGACAAAAAAGAATTGAAAAGAGTAATATCACTCAAGTTGTGGAATCACCACATATGATTAAGGTTGAGTTTGTAATTCATTTGGGACTATGCAAAACAGTCACATCTAGTAGTAATTTTAGGAGTGTTTACGTGCCATATTTTTTTTCTTCAAATGTGTACTATTTATTAGAACATTGTGATGACTTTTAGTATAGTGGAATTTTTCGGAATTGGTCCCATGGTTTTTCCCCTCCTTACTAGAGGGTTTTTCACGTTAAATCTGGTATCATTTTTACCTTTCCACGTTTAATCGAGTGGGATGCGTTATCATGAATAAATCTAAGGGGTCCAACAGGCTCACCCATGCTAGAAGTTAAAGAGGACCATATGATACGATATTGTTTTGGCAAACGATGTTACTATGTTTTTTCGTAGAGTGCAGCGTTTCAACCAAAAGGGGGGAAAAACTGATCATGTGGGCAGATTAGATTGCTCCGTCGAATTTAAGGTACACACATTTCCTTCAAGGACAGAATAAGGACAGACAAGAGATGTGGGAAGTATGTTGCAATCGAGAATGAAAGAAAAGTTATTTGGAAATTATGTAAGTTTTATCTTAGGAGGTGATTTTTGGATGTTTATCAGAAAGCAACAATTCAATCATGCCAATACTAAAATTAAGCAATGATAATTTGCCAATTGAATTAAGACAATGTTTTGCTTATTGCTATTTATATCTAAAAGATTGAAAATATAATAAGGATGATTATTTCATTGAACTATGGATGCCGCAATGCTACCTTGATAGCAAAATGGAAATCAAATCTCTTGAAGATGTTGGAGAATAACATGTTCATCTTTTATTGGTTCTAAATACAAGAGATAGATAAGGAATTTGTTTTCGTACTAAATATAAAATCTTAATTCATTTTGTTTTCTAAATTTATAATTTCTTCTTTAATATATCCTTATTGATTGCTCATAATAAGGAAATCCTAGACACATGATTAGAAAAAGTATGGTAAGGAAATCGATATTATTTACTTCCGGTCTTTATTTAATACCCAATTGACTTTTATTTGTCCTAATTATAAGACCCAATCATTTTCTCTCTTATATTTATGCTTTTTTCCAGATAATCCTTCTAATATGATATTTTAGCCAATATACTTAATTAGCAAGGATATTTTAGGATAACAACACTTATTATTATAAACCACTTAACTTACTTCCTAACTCCTCAAATAAGTCAATTGGGTCTTAAATTAGGACCGGAGGAGTATTAAATAACTAACATATTTATTTTCTTGATTTATAAATTAGTTATTTATCTCTTATATTAAAAATTGAAGACTATCAATTGTTGGTTCTGATTGCTGCTTATATAGTGAGAGGAGGAAAATTGTTTCAAGTCCTTTGCATGTTCCTTGTAAATATGACTCTAATTTTTCGGTGGATTTATTGAATGGAAATAACTCACTAAGAACTATTCTTGATGGATAGAGATGATATATCTAGTTCATTGGGGTTCAAAAAGTTGCGCAGTCTATTTTGTCAGGGTATCATGAGATAAGAGAATTACCAGATTTTATAGATCAACTGAAGCATTTAAGGTATCTTGATCTATCTGATGTTACAATTTGACCAATTTACCACACAGCATAAGCAACCTGGTCAATTTGGAAACTCTAAAACTAATTAGGTGTTATCATGTGCGTAAAGTTTCTATGGATTTCATAATGAAGTTTGTCGACTTGTGTCATTCAACTTGTTGGACAGAATTAAATGGTTAAAAGTGAACCTCTGGTTTGCAGGCAATAGTGGCATTGAACATATAGTCCATACACTTTTTTATTTAACAAAAAAAAAAAAAGATCTATTTTGGTTGATGAAAAACAAATTATTTTTGCCACCTGACATTTCTATAATGTTTTTCTTTGAAATTATTGTGTCAAAGACTCAAAGGGTTCGTGCTTGTATCATGAAAAATAATTAGTTCTTTTATCATTATTAGAATCTGGTAAAAGTTTAAAGCACTAACAATCTTTCTCTAAAGGGGTTTTTCGATAGAACCAACTCATAGTTTGAAAAATAGTTTCAGGAGAATAGATTTTAGAAGAATAGATTTTGGAATAAATTTTAGAAGAATAGATTTTGTGTAAAATGATTCTAATAAAGAGAGAGTGGTTGGATAATTACTATCAGAAACACTTTTTTATGTACAAATTACTAAAAGACATAAGTTAATATGATAATTACATTAAAAAAATATTTTAATTTATATTTTTTATTTGAAGTTATTCTACTGTCTTTAATGTAAGATCTAATTAATTAATTTGAGTAGATTAAGAATGCTAGTTAAATTAGTTAATATGATATTTTTTTAGACACCCTAAGCATTTTTTTAATTTCCTTCCTCTCTCATCTACTTATTATATTGAGGGAGCACCAATTAGGTCCTATATTAAGGACCGAAATAATAAATTTGTTAATAGTTTTCTTTGCCAACATAATAAATAATGTATAAAAATATATTAATTAATTGTTTACATCTCTATATATATTTATAAAATATAAGACTAAATATGTTTTAGAAAAATGAAAAAAAATTTCACCAGAAAATATTATTTTAAGTGGGGGAGGAGAACCGATCAAAAAAAAAAGAACCAAGGAGGAGAAAGAAGGAGAAATGTGAAGGCGTGAAGATGACAGTGATGGGGCAAAACATTTCACTGACAAATTTGGATTGCGCTGGAAACGGCAAAAGCTCTAAGAAAATGTGAAACTGAAATTTGCAACTGAGTTGGACACAAATAGTTGTTTGGTTGGAGTTAAAAACTTGACCAACTTGTGGCTTTTAACCTCAGTTGAATTCAACAGAAGAAAAGTTGACTTTTTCCATTTTAAATTGTAGTTTCAAATGGTAATCATTAAAAAAGAGCATTAAAAATATACCAATCCAGATATACCCTCACATTTTTCTCTTTACCTCATCTCCTTCATTAGCATAATGAGCTTTTATTCAGACCAAATGAATTAATTTATATTCATGTTTTTAATTGTATATATTTAATTAATTATATACAATGTGTTTTCAAATTTTTCTCTGTAACAAATATTTTGATTTTATAATTTCACAAATAAATTAATTATATTTTATCATAATAATTTTATGTATTTTTTAAACTATTATCGTATTAAAAACATTAAATTTCAAACACTACTATTCAATAAAGTTCATACCCTTTTCAGTCATTTTACAACTAAACTAATTTTTTTATTAATCATCTAAACAACTTTCAACTTTTTCAACTGGCTTTTTATAAGCACCTATCTAATATAAATCACATTATACTAACTGATTTTTATTCTAATTTCAGTTATAAAAATAGTTAAATTAGAAGTCATTTTTACCCAATATCAATCCAAACACACCCAACAACGTCCATGTTCGTTCCAAAAGCAACAAAATTTCTATGTCTAAATATCTATTAGACTCCATTTTCAAATTTTAACTATTGACTACATGCTTTTGAAGATGTATGAGAATTACAATCTATATGCCGACTAATATGCTAATTAAATGGGTGTTTTGATTGCTCCTTCAAAGGATT